GGCGCCTTCTTGAGAGGCCCAACCAGATCAAGCCCCCAGACCGCAAAGGGCCATGTGATGGGGATCATCTGGAGTGCCTAGGCCAGGAGGTGAGATTGTCGAGCGTAGTACTGGCACCCTTTGCAGGTGCGTACGATCTGCTCGGCGTCGACTACTGCAGTGGGCCAGTAGAAGCCCTGTCAGAATGCGTTCCCAACCAAGGTTCTAGGCGCGGTGTGGTGACCGTAGACCCCACCGTGGATATCGCTCAGCAAAAGCTTCCCCTATTCGATAGGGATGCAGAGCTGCAGGATCTCGGTGTGGCTCCGTTTGTAGAGTTCACCTTCTAGAAGAACGAAGGATTTGGCGCGACGTGCGAGCTGTCGAGCTTCCGTCTTGTCTGTTGGTAGTGTGTCACAGAGGAGGTAGTCGAGGTAGAGCGTGCTCCAGTCGATCAGAGGATCGGGCTCTGTCGCTGGATCCTCTTCAAGCTCCATGACCTCAGGGCCGGACGGAGCCGTCGGTTGGTTAGCCCCCGAGGCTGGATCAGACGGGCTATCGTTGGCCCGTTCTGACCCTTCGTAGCGCACCGAGGGTTTGTGTTCGTCGCTGGCGAAGACACCCATTGGCACCGGCTCTCGACCGGATGCCGCTTTTACAAGCACGTCGGCCATCTCATTGAGGCGTCTTAGGATGTGATTGAGTTCGAGGCTGTTGAATTTGTCCTCCAGCCGTCGGACTTCTTGGCAGTACGCAGTCATCTTGGTGTCGTGATAGTTCGACTCCTTCATGACTTGGTTGACGACCAACTAGGAGTCGCCCCAGATGTCGAGGCATCGGATGCCCAGCTCGATGGTGATGCGTAGACCGTTGATGAGTGCTTCATACTCAGCCACATTATTAGATGAGGGGAAATGGAGATGAACCATGTACCTCATGCGAACCCCGAGGGGTGATACGAAGACCAGCCCCACGCTGGCGCCCTTCTTCATCAGCGATCCATCGAAGTACATCGTCCAGTACTCTTGATCGACGACCGCCGGTGGTGTCTGGACCTCGGTCCATTCCGCGATGAAGTCAGCCAACACCTAGGACTTGATCGCCGTTCGGGAGGCATACGTGATGCCTTGATCCATCAACTCGAGTGCCCACTTTGCGATTCTTCCTGTGGCGTCTTGGCTCTGGACGACCTCACCGAGGGGGAACGATGTCACAACCGTCACGGTGTGTGATTCGAAGTAGTGGCGTAGCTTCCTCTTAGTGATGAGGACGGCGTACAGGAGCTTCTGGATTTGGGAGTAGTGGGTCTTGGAGTTGGATAGTACCTCGTTGATGAAGTACACAGGGCGCTGTATCTTGACGGCGTGCCCCTCTTCTTCCTACTCCACTACCAGGGCGGCGCTGACCACTTGCGTGGTGGCCGCTATGTATAGCAGAAGGGATTCTCCATCGGTTGGAGCAACCAAGATCGGGGGCCTTATCAGAAGCTGTTTGACCATGTCAAGTGCCTCCTGGGCCTCGGATGTCCACTCGAAGTGGTCGGCTTTCTTCAAGATTCGATAAAGGGGGAGACCTCGTTCGCCGAGGCGTGAGATGGATCGGCTGAGTGCGGCAAGGCATCCTATGATTTGTTGAACCCCCTTTATATTCTGAATCAGGCCCATCCTTGTGATGGCTAAAATTTTCTCCGGGTTGGCTTCGATGCCACGCTCGGAGGCGATGAAGCCAAGCAGCATGCCCCTCGGGACCCTGAAAACACATTTCTTGGGATTGAGTTTGATGCCATTCGCTCGGAGTTTTGCAAAGGTTATGAGGTGGTCGACCCGTTTGGACTTAACCACGATGTCATCAACGTAGGCCTCAACGGTCCGCCCGATGAGGTTCCCGAAGCATTTGAGCATGCAACGCTGGTACGTAGCCCCAGCGTTCTTTAGACCGAATGGCATTAAGACGTAGAAGAACGATCCAAAGGGGGTGATGAAAGATATCGCGAGCTGGTCGGATTCTTTCATCGTGATTTGATGGTAGCCGGAGTACACATCAAGGAAGCAGAGGATTTCGCACCCCGAGGTAGAGTCGATTATTTGGTCTATGCATGGCAAAGGGAACAGATCCTTTGGGCACGCCTTGTTGAGACCCATATAGTCAACACACATCCTCCATTTCCCACTCTTCTTTCGTACAAGAACGGGATTAGCTAACCACTCTGGGTGGTATACTTCCTTGATGAATCCGGCCGTCAAAAGTTTGGCTATCTCCTCGCCGATGGCCCTGCGTTTATCCTCATCGAAGCGACGCAGGTGTTGCTTCACCGGCCTAGAGCCTGGATGGTTTTTCAAGGTATGCTCGGTGACCTCCCTCGGAATGCCTGGCATATCTGAGGGTTTCCACGCAAAGATGTCTTATTTGTCGTGGAGGAAGTCGATGAGCGCGCTTTCCTATTCGAAGGAAAGCGCGGTACCAATGCGTACCGTTTTACCCTCGGAGCTGCTGGGATCTATGAGGACCTCCTTGGAGCCCTCTGCCGATTCGAACGACCTGGTCGACTTCCTCACGTCGGGCGCTTCTTCGGCGATCTCCTCCTTGAGGGCGTCGAGTTCCTCAGAGGCGACGATTGTTGTGGCGTGGCCGCAGCACTTGTCCTCGCACTCGTAGGCGCACTGGAAGGAGGTGCCGATGGTGATGACCCCATGGGGGCCCGGCATCTTCAACTTGAGGTATGTATAGTTGGGGACGGCCATGAACTTCGCGTAGCATAGACGTCCCAGGATGGCGTGGAAGGTTCTGGGGAACCCAACCACCTCAAAGGTGAGAGTCTCGGTCCTATATTTGAACTAATCCCCGAAGGTAACGGGCAGATCGATCTGTCCGAGTGGCATGGCCTGCTTTCTAGGCATGTTACCATGGAAAGGCGCTCGGGTTGGGCGGAGGCGTGTCCGGTCGATGCCCATCTCGTCGAGCATCTTTGCGTACATGATGTTGAGCCCGCTGCCCCCATCCATCAGTATTTTGGTGAGTCGCTTTGGGCCGACGATCGGGTCGACCACAAACGGATATCTCCCTGGGTGCGGGATGATATCCAGATGGTCGGTCCGATCGAAGGTTATGGCGGACTCCGACCACCGGAGGATGGGAGGTGTGGCCGGTTGGGTCGTGTAGACTTTACGGCGTGCGACCTTCTGACGGCGTTTGGAGTCGTAGGCCGCTGATCCTCTGAAGATCATAAGGTAGCCGTCCGACGTTGGAAAGCCATCGTCCTTCTCCTCGGCGTCGTCCGTAGTGGGGGCAGGGTCCTTCCCCTGCTCCCCTTTATTGGAGCCTCCGGACAAGAACCGCCGCATGAGGTTGCAGTCCTTGAGCAGATGCTTAACAGGAAAGGCGTGGTTTGGGCACGGCCCCTCGAGTAAATTTTCGAAGTGGTTCGGAGTGCCCTCCGCGGGCTTCCGACCACCCTTGCGGTCAGCAGCGGCCACGAGCGAGTCCTCGCGCCGTTGCTTCTTATTCTTCCTTTTGGTGGAACGATTGGAGGTGCCTTCGTCGGCACCCTCGTCTCGCCTTGCCTTGCCCTCGAGGCGATTAAAGATCGCTCCGACCACCTCTTCTCCTGAGGCGTAGCTGGTGGCGAGGTCCAGGAGTTTCTTGGTGGTTCGCGGGCCCTTGCGTCCCAGCTTATGAACCAAGGACTCGTAGGTCGTCCCGGACAGGAAGGCTCCTATCACGTCGGCGTCGGTGACGTTAGGGAGCTTGTTGCACTGTCGGGAGAAGCGCCAGATGTACCAACAGAGGGTCTCACCGGCCGTCTGACGACAGTTCTTGAGGTCCATGGGTTCCCAGGGCGCTTGTATGTGTCCTAAAAGTTTACCACAAAGATCTCATTCAGATCTGCCCAACTCTAGATTGTGTTGGACTGCAGGTGTTCCAACCACGCTCGTGCCGAATCGGCCAAGAATAGTGGAAGGTCGCGGATAATGAAGTCGTCATTATCCGCACCACCGGCTTGACAGGCAAGCCGATAGTCTTCAAGCCAAAGTCCGGGGTTTGTCTCCCCAGAGTACTTAAGGATATTGGTATGTGATCGGTACCTTGGCGGGAAAGCAGTGTTGATGATATGCCGGCCGAAGGCCTAAGGGCCTGGTAAGCCGGGGCTCGGGCTTCGGTCCTCGCCGCTGTCGTAGCGTCCGCCGCGGCGAGGATGATAGCCGTCGAGCAAGGCGGAGCCAGCTCTCAGCCGTCGGGTGAGGCGGAGCCGGTCCTCAGACATCGGACGAGGCGGAGCCAATCTTTAGTCCTCCGGACAAGAAGTGTAGCTGCGTTCTTGTCTGTTCGAGAGCATCAACGTTTGATGATTATTAATTCCACCTCATCGGATAGCTCAGGACTGGTCCCGACACGAGGGCACTCTTTTCATCGGTAGCCACTGCAAATCCAGCGTTATGTCAGGCACATCGATTAGCGATAACAAATGGTCAAATGCAGGCATCAGTCTTGGCCGGTGGATCGGGCTGTAACATCGCATCACATTCACATGGGCACCGCCCGTTCCTGGAGTCACTGACGGGCACGCACGGTTCAAAACTCCAGAGGACCCCCGGGGTCACATCGGCTTCGCGGGAAAAGAAAACAACTGCTCCGTCCGCCGTGCACCGGCGCGTGAACAAAGAAACATCAGTGACCCGCCGGCGCACAAACACCTTGTCCGCCCACGTCACGCCTCCTCTCCTCTCCTCGGGTAACCGCCCACACGCGAGCGCCTCTCTTCCTCCCCGTTCCGTTCGTCGTCGCTCCTCTCTTCCCCCCCGCATCTCGCGCGCGCGAGCGCCTTCGCTCTGCCACCCTGTGCTCCCCGCTCCGCCCCGACCCGCACGCCTCTCCTCGTCGGCCGGCCGGCCAGCGCCGCCATGGCGCGCTAGCCAAGCCACATTCTGACATCGATTCGCCCGCCACGCCTCTGACCAGCGCATTGATTTCTTGTTCTCCGCTCCCGGCGCCGCGGCCACCACTTGGTGGTCCGGTCTCTTGCCATGGGCAAGGGCTCGGCGCCGGCAGAGCCCGAGCCCGCCGTGCTCCTGCACGGCGACCTGGACATCCGCATCGTGGAGGCCAAGTGCTTCGCCTCCTGCTCCTGCGGCAGGCCCGCCACGAAGAAGCGGATCATCACCAGCGACCCCTACGTCTCCGTCTGCGTCGCGGGCGCCACGGTGGCGCAGACCCGGGTGATCCCCAACACCGAGAACCCGCGCTGGGAGGAGCACTTCCGCGTGGAGGTCGCGCACGCCGCCGCCCGCGTCGAGTTCCACGTCAAGGACAACGACGTCTTTGGCGCGCAGCTCATCGGCGTCGCCGCCGTGCCCGTCGCCGCGCTCGCCGCCGGCTGGTTCCCAGTCGAGGCCGGGCAGTGCGGCGCCGGAGCCGGCAGCCACTCCCAGAGGCGGCCCGCCCCCGAGCTGCACCTCTCCATACGGTACGAGCCCATCGACGGCAACCCGTTGTACAGTGCCAGCGCCGGCGCCGGACATCGGTACTCCGGCGTGCCCAATGCCTACTTCCCTCTCCGGCGAGGCGGCGCCGTCACGCTCTACCAGGACGCCCACGTCGCCGGCGGCAATCTACCTGCGATCGAGATCGACGGCGGCCGGGTCTACGAGCACGGCAGGTGTTGGGAGGACATCTGCCACGCCATCGCTGAAGCGCACCACCTGGTTTACGTGGTCGGCTGGTCCATCTACCACCCCGTCAGGCTCGTGAGGGAGACGACCAGGCCGTTGGCCGGAGGCACGCCGCCGACGCTCGGTGAGCTCCTCAAGGGGAAGGTCCATGAGGGAGTCCGCGTCGTGATGCTGATTTGGGACGACAAGACGTCGCATGACAAATTCCTTTTGAAAACGGTACTGTATGGTTTACGTTTCTTTCTTCAGGAAGTTGTTCATTAATTTGCCGCGAACGAAAGAAAGAACACCCTTTGCTTGGTTCAATAATAGTCTGATGGAGATGTTTTTGGTTGAATGCAGGGTGGAGTCATGCATACACATGATGAGGAAACTAGAAAGTTTTTCAGGCATTCCGGTGTACACTGTGTACTGGTTCCTCCTTATGCCAGCAATAAACTTAGCATTTTCAAGCAGCAGGTGAGGGTTCCTTTTAGTTTTCCTTCCCATTGTACTGCTACAATGAACTGAACTGCATTTTTTTTATTTACAGCATGTACGTCAGCTGTCAGCAGTCAGCACGCATTGGCCCGTTCGCGTGCCCTTAAAACAGATTCCTTCAGCATTCTTCCAAACCATCCAAATTCCTCCAAACGAACAGGCCCATCGTCAGTCGTCGCGGCGGGCGACCCCATCCTCCGGGACGAGCACTACAGGCTGTACGTGCTCTTTGTGTGGTCGAGCTGGATCGGGTTCGGCAGCTCCATGGTGCTCACCATGGGACTGCTCACCGGCGTCGCCACGGGGTCGCGCTTCGTGCGCTGGCTCTTGGTCGTGTGCTGGTGCAGAAATGTGTTTGACTCATTGTCTCTGTCTAATGGTGTTCCAGTGTCTATGTGTTGATACGGTGATCCTTGTAAGGTAGCTAAATCTGATAAAGAGGACACATATAGGCAGAGGTACTAGATGTGTGCCAATTTTGCGTTTGAGCCTATATTTTGTCAGCGCTGTGTAATAATTATTTTGTGTCATATGAAGTCTTGCATGATTTATTTGTTTTGTAACAATTGCATTTATTGCAGACCCCTCCACCGCTCTGTGATTTTGAGCAGTGAATCGACACTGAGATCAAGCCGGAAGACAATAAGTGGATGTAGAAACTGTTGCGGTGGGAGGCAGAGGATAAGGAGATGATGGAGAAGAGACGCAGAGAGCAGGTTGCAGAAAAGGAGCACAAGGAAGAGGAGGAAAGGAGGCGTGTTGCTGCGTACAGGGAGGAGAGGGAGAAGAAACTTGAGCATGCGCGCCGAGCGAAGGCAGTGATTGAGGAGAATCCCGATGCTCTGAGAAAGGGAGAGAAATGGAAAATGGCATCGTTGCACTCAGTAGTCTGCATGACTTGTTAGTTCTATGGTTTATTTATGAACAAATTTGTGCAGAAAATTTCCGCAGAGTTTCCTTTGTTTTTTAATGCAAACCAAACAAAAATATGACACAGAATATATGCAATTCCATACGCGCACATTCATCTCAATCCATATACATGTGATCATATTAAAAGTGAACGTACGCCATCATTACTTCATCTTATATAGAAACTAATGCAAATGGACTATAACGGGACAATTAAAATAGCAGAACACTTACTTGTGTAAGTCAATATCAGTCGAGAACGGAGCCATTAAGTAAAGCTGTCTCACTCTAAATTGACGGACAACTCTATCTGACAGGTGGAACTCGACAGCATAGAAGTAGATTAGAGGACACTTTATCCTGTAGAAGTCGTAGCTCCAAATCATTTATAATTTCAACACTATTGAAGCACGGAATCCATCTCCACAGTAGTGGGCACTGGCCTTACGTGCCACCGCTCCATGGTATGCTTGTTGCTGTCGTCATGCCACCGCTCCACTGACCTTACATTGTCTCCGGGCCGAGCCCGAGCATATCGTCGACGGTGGCTTCCGCCACCACGGGCACCAACAGACCGCACGGCATCTGGATGAACTCGCCGCCATGCCCCGGCGGCGGCTCGACGATCGGCTGCTGCGGCTCACCTCGCAATAACCACTCCACGGTGAACTCTTGGTGCTCAGACTGTCGTTGCACGGCAGTCTCCGGCTCGGCGATTGGCTGCTGCAGTCCCTGCTCTGGCTCGTCTCGCAGCATGCTCTCGTCGACGTAGAAGTTTATGTCCTCGATGTTGAAGTTGAAGTCGCCGCCGTGCTCCGACTCCACGCCTTGTGGCTGATAGCAGGCGGTAGTATCCTGCTGCACCTGTTCTTGCTGCTGGATCGACTTGGCCGGCGGCGCCTCGGGGTGCTCACCGCCGCCGGCCTTCCTCTTCTTGGCCGTCTTCTTGGACGAGGACTTCTTGCTAGAGGAGGACGCCGACGCAGACTTCCCTTTCGCGCGAGGCGAGCGGTAGACCTTGCAAAGCACGTAGTTGCTGCTGTCGGCGGCGGCTTCCTCTTCTTTCTTGTCGGCGGCGACGAAATCGTATTCCACCATGCACCACCCCATCCTGTAGAACGATCGAGCGGAGGGCTCCGTCTTGCGGCCGTATGAGAAGGTGCAGAACGTGCCGCCACCGTATCCCTGGACGTCCTTGCGCCCTATCTCCGAGTGCCAGCCCGTGCCGCCGCCGCCTGTGACCGCGCGCTGCCTGTGGCCGCTGGTGTCGCCTCGGGTGTTCTTGTATTTCTTGGCGTGGTAGAAGTACCAGATCCTGCTGTAGCCGTCATCTTCGGCACCGGTGCCCGGCACCGGCTCCAGGTCGGCGACGAGAACCGCGGGAACGGCATCACAGACATCGACGTGATGGACGAAGTGGACGTGGTCTCCGGCGCGGACGCGGCGCAGGAGGGCGATGGAAGCCTTATTGTCGGTGGAGCGGCTATCGTCGTTGGACGCCATGTCGCCGAGATGCAGCTGGTGGTGGATCGACGACGATCGACTGATCGGCGGAGGCGTGCGTGAAGGTGAAGAAAGTACGCGTTGGAGGCAGAGGTGGGAGGGAGCGGCGCTGCCGCTATATATAAAGCACACGTCGGAACCAGAATCTTAATGGATCGATGTTGGTTGCCTCGCGCATCAACAGGTACCATGGGCCCACAGAAAAAGGGGAAAAAAAAGACACACACGAGACCAGCCTACCAAATGGAAGCCCAGCCTTTCGTGGTTCAAAAACGCCAAATCTTGTCTGAATCATCGTTTGGTCAAGACTTTTCGGAATCCTCGTTCTTCCGCCGTATCGTAGTTTCTTCCACCTCGATCGATTTTTTTTTTCAACAAAAACAAGTAATCGGGTTGTTTTCGATCCCTATTCCATCTCTGAACCGAACCGAACCGCGCCGCCATTCCGACGACCGTGCCCGAACCCCAATCCTGTCAAGCAAGTTTTTCCAGAACAGCAGGCGCGCTTTTACCAGCGAAAGCGAGCCAGCTTTTCGATGGCATCATTGCTCAGTCGGGGCCTCTAAGAAGGTTTCGTGGCTGCCGTCCCTATCTATGATGCTTTTGAAGGTTAAGGTTGGTAACGTTGTGTAACAGACACGATATATATCTGCCAGCAGTCGACATCAGATCAAGTTTCAACCTAAGCTACATGGATGTACAAGGCGACAGATGAGGCTTAAGCTTGCTACTATCTCGTTGAAGGTGAGTAGGTGACTTGGTCCGGTATTTGACTTCCTGGTCTGGTGCCTCATGTAGTGGTTGGTTGTGCTGTGAATCTTGAGCTGCATTTGTGCTTGTGTACTCGATCTACATACCGCTTTTGTGCTGGGATTCGATCGGGAACTGTTTAGCCTGAAACCTATTTCAACGAATGCGATAATGCTAATGTTGTCTCAACATGTGTTTCACAACACCAAGTATTGATTTAGTTATGTCAATTCAAAAAAAAAGGAAAATTTACCGCATCAAGCTTCTTCCATATTCTGTTTCATGTGGTTTTTAGTGCTGTGGTCTCCGTTGTTTTTCCTCCCTTTCTCGTGAAAGAACCTAAATGATCTCTGAATGAAAGGCACTACCAGGTTGAGAGGCACGAGAGCACGTAAGATGATAAGAGCAGCTATTTCTATTTGATCAAAGACGATTCTCCTCATGAAAATAACCACTACCAAAGATCAAAATCAAAATCTGATATCGAAATTTTTTGTATCTGCTTTTTCCAGTTGATCGAACCTGCGCTGGAGACCAAAAAAATAAAATAAAGAAATCGTCGGCAGCAGGATTCGAACCTAGATATTTATTTTTACATTTTTTAACTAATTTTAAATCTAACACTGTTTTTTTTTCCAAAACTAACACTTTTGGCCGCGCCTATTGCCATGGCGCGGCGTGCATGGTGGCGCGGCGGGAGGCTGACGTGGCGACGACCGGGGCTGCTGACCGGTGACGTGGCAGGGTCTGCCGCGCCACCGACCACGGCGCGGCAGTGACGCGCCATAGCCCACGGTGCGGCAGGACCTGGACGCAGACAGAAGTTCGGCTGCTGTCGGTGAGGATCGGCAGCGACGCGACCATGGACCCCGGCTTTGCGTCGCAGCTGAACGGCACCTGCAGCTCCGACCCCAACGCCTTCGCCTTCCTCGACCCTTCACCGGTGGGCTCCGAGCAGGTGCTCTAGGCTAGTCCGACATGAGGTCGCGTAGCACGGTCGACTACTGTGCGTCCAACTAGGGTGCCTTCTTCGGCGATTTCGTGGCGGCGATGACCAAGCTCAGGAGGATCGGGGTCAAGACTCCGGCCACCAGTGGCGAGATACGCCGGGATTGCCGGTTCCCGAATTAGTTGCTAGTTAATCTCGCCGACAGTGCTGCCGCGACGTATTGAAACGAATATAAAGCAAATAAATGAAGTCCGTGCGCAAATTGACAAGGTGCCGCATAACATTTTTATTTGTTCGACATAAGTTCGATATAACATAACCAACTAAGATCGTAAGTTTTGGACGACAATATTCGTTCGACCTAACAAACTAAGACCCAGGAGTGTAAGGATCCCTCGGACGCATCTGTCTCTTCGGATTTGTTGGCAACACATTAGGAGTGTAGCCAACGTCGGTGTGGTCGCGTTGCCGGTGCGTACGGCTCATACCCTGCAAGTATATGATATGCACAATTACTTATAATATTTATGATCGTTAGTTCATGAAGCCTGCGTATTTAAAGAATCTACCTTTGTTACTACATGTGAGGCTTCTTGGGTACCAAGCGGCGCACCACCTAGCTGAGACATGCCGATCTCGTCCTGCGGCTAATCGTCCCACTGGTGGTGCT